TGGTGCCTTTGGGCGAAACTTCCCGCGCGTTTCCAGGCGCGAGCGGGAGCGGGAGCGGGAGCGGGCGGGCGATCGGGCGCCGGCAGCGAGCGAGCGTGCGCCACCGGCCCTCCCTCCTCCTCCCTCCCGGTCCCCCCTGCTCAGCCCAGACGGCTGCTCGGAGTAGGAGCCATCTGAACCTCTTCCCTGTTTTATACCCAGGCGACGTCATCCTGGCCTGAGTTCCCGGGAACATGCAGACGACAAACACAACCGGAGTTGAGTTTTCCTGCGGGGGAGGGGGGAGGAAGGGTCACAGTGGGGGCCGCACAAAGGAGCGAAAGGAGCCCGGGCTGTGGATTGAGAATTAATGAAATTAACTTAATCCTCGCCATTACTGGCTTTTTTTTTTCAGAGGCCCCAGATTGAGGCTTGATCTCCAGCAGCGGCTAATTGCCCGGGTTAATCTGATTAATGCCACTGCGGGGCCGCGTTTAGCAGCTCCTCGCCTGTCCGCCCCGCACCTCCTCTCCCGCGCGGCGCGATCCTCTGCCTCCAGCCGAGCCGCAGGATTTCGGTCGGGAACAGGGCCCGGCCCCGCGCAGACAGCGCTTCCTGCGGGGCAGGTTCTGGTTTTCAAGAACTCCCCAGTATTTCCCAGCCGCGTCTCGAGCAGCAATTTCAGCACCTGGGGGCGGGGGGTTCCCCCCTAACATTTCAATTCAGGGCAGATGTCAGGGTTTTACCAGGCTGGCTCTGAGCTCGGCAACAGCCTCTGCTCTAGAAGTCAGGCTCCAGGGCGGAGGCTCAGACTTGCTTTATCACGATTATATTACGAGTTATTATTATTATTATTATTATTATTATTATTATTATTATTATTATTATTATATTTACTGCTGTCATTATTGTTGTTATTATTATTGCTTTTTCTTCCCCAGGAACGACTCCTTTCCTTCCCAGCCTGATGCGCGGCAGGGAGACGTGTGTCCGCGGCGGTGATTAGCGGGCCGCGCGCTCGGTCACGGCCGCCGCGGGGAATCCACAGGAGGCGAGTGAGCGCGATCAGCCCGTCTGCCCCGGGGAGCCGCCCGCACGGCATGCAAACAAGCCATTAGGAGCTGGAGACGAGGGACAAATGATTTTTTTGCTCAACAAAGGCCGCGCTCGTTAAGGCTAACGAGAGGCTTCCTCGCCTGCCTGCCCCCTCCCCCAGTGCCCCGAGGAGCCGCCAAGTGCCTGCGCCAGGGACCGGGCCCCCGCGAGCATCCCCCAGCGCAGGTGCCGGAGCGGCTCGAGCACACGCCGGAGAGCGGCTCCTTCCCTCTGCTGCAGCGCAGCCGCTTGCACTTCGTGTCCTGGCATTGAGCCCCAGGGTCCTGCAGCCCTCGCGGCGCACGGGGAGGTGAAGCCATGATGTGACAGGGGCCAAACAAGCCAGTCCCGTGTCCCCGCGTCCCCCCCCCCGGGCG